ATACTAAGAACGTAATAGTAAATATCTTAAATTATTTAATAAGTAATTATTTTTATTTATTAAGTCTATTATTAAGCTTAGTAAAACGTTTATTATTATTAATAAATTTATTAAACTATTATTTTAAGATAAAGCCTTTTAAATAAATTTAAAAATTTATATAAATAAGATTATTATCTTTAATATTAGCTATCTTATAAATATACTTAATAAAAAAATTAATATTATAAAAGTATATCTTCTTTAATATATACTTTATCGATAAAACTTTAAACGCTATCGACTTATCTTTATATATTAAATTAAAAAAATCGATATTATTTAAATTTTGTCTCGATTATAAAGAATCTCTATTATTTTTTAAGATATTAATAATATCTAGCGAGCTCGACGATTCTAATATTTTCTACTATAATAAATTATTATATATATATTAAACTATCGCTACGGAAGTAGCTATTACGATAATAACTTATACTTATAAATTATTAAGATCTATTTTATTTAATAAATCGATTAAATAAGAATAGATTACTTCGTTAGCGAAGATTACTCTTATTATAATTTCTAAACTTATTAAAAAAAGTATAATAATTCTTAAATATAAGAAACTTAATAAGTTTTCTAGAGTAACTTTTATAGATAGAGAATTCTTAAGTCTTTATAATAACTCTACTTCTTTATTAAATATTCTAAATATTATATAAAAATATAATTTATTAATAGTCTAATTAAGAGATTAGAATAATACTTTAATTAAATTAGATCTAATATATAAATAATTATTTCTTATTAAGATTTCTTAGATTATTAAGAGTAAATAAAAATTGCTTTTAACGATATTTTTAATAAATTAATAATTCTTCTTATTAAGTAAGTTTATAAATATATAATTACTTTTAAAAAACTTTTATAATTAAAATATAAGAATAACGATATTATAAATAATTAAATTAAGTATTAAATAACTTAAGAAAACTAGTTTAGCTATTAATTAATAATATTAATAAATTTTAAAAGAAAGTAGAGAAAGATTAAGAAATCTTATAAGGAATTAAGATTTCTAAGAGAGAGATTTCTATTTCTTATAGATTCTTAATTAAAATTATAATAAATATAGAGAATTCGCTATCGAAGATAGTTTTAGATAGTAATAATATACTCGAAGAATTTATATAGCGAAAGCTTAAGATAGAATTTGAAGAATAAGCTTTCTTTAAGAATAGACTTTTTTAAAGAATAAGCTTTCTTTAAACGGGCTAGTCTAATAAAAGAATTTCTAAGATCTCTTAATAGTTAATTAATATTAAGAAATAATATTACTATTATATTATAATAATAATAAGAATCTATAATCGTAGTATATAATAAGCTTAATTATTTCTATTTAGAAATCTATTACTTATAATAGTAAGCTTAACGAGATATCTACTTAATAGGCTTATATGCTTAATAAAGTAAGTATCTTATTAAGGCTATATCTCCACCATAGTTCTCGTAATAAATATCTATCTCTTATTAATTTTTATAGCTTTTTTTTACTACTTTAAAATCTAATTTATTTTATTTTTATTAGAAGTAAATAAAGTAATAATTTAAAATATATTAAACTATTAATAGTGAATTTATTTAATGATTAAAATAAGGAAGCTATTGAATGTGGGGGAAGAATCTCGGTTAAATTTGTTGCCTCGGCGTCGGCGTTTATCGGATATCGGATTTATCGATTTCAAGATGGCGTAAATAGGGAGTAACGCGACACGTCTTTCAACGCGTCCTGCGTCCTGTTAGACCCGCACAGTGCTTCAAGAAATCTTTTCCCTTCCTAATTCCAGAACTGATCACAGCAATCATGATAAGACAAGACTATAATCGAATTGATCCCAAAAGGAGAAGTGCGATTGATTACAAGAAGAAACAATTCGCAGTTCCCACGTATAAGCAGCAAGACTACCCACACCGCCTGAGCCTCTATGAAACCCCCCCGACAGCCGAGATCACGCTCGAGCAGTTTGAGCAATGGGCTATCGATAGATTGAGAGGTGTTCCCAACGCCATCGCAGGCATGTAGCCACCGTGGCTGACAGCGACTAGTGCTCGCCGAGATTGAAGCTTGCTCGTTCCGCAACAAAACACCTGCCGAGACTGCCGCCCATGTGACACCTTTACTTCAGAAATGGTTGCCCCTTCATTCGAATACCTCGTCCTCCGTTGGCTCACAAGATGAGAATCTCAAATTAGAACGACAGAAAGATCACTACTCCCACTTTATCTTACGTCTTGCATTCTCTTCTACGGAGGATCTACGGAGGCGCTTTGCACGAATCGAAAGTGCTTTGTTCAAGTTGCGCTTTCAAAATGACGACGCTAAAGAAAGACAAACATTCGTCGAGTCTTTGCAGTTCGACTGGGAAGTCGTTTCTGAAGAAGAGAAAAGGGCATTGGGGGCGGATTTACTGAATGCGACCCCGGGAATGAAGCGACAGGACGCGGAGGAAGCAGGTTGGTTCAAGGTAGATTTTGAGATGGTTGCAGAACTGGTGGAAGGCCGAAGAGTCTTTTTGAAAGCCGGCAAGGCATACGTACCGGTCAGGGAACAGATGAGCATGGTTCTTGCTGGATTCAATGCCAGGCTAGACAAAGGACTAGAGGTTGAAACTCCAATTCCTCGTTACCATATCACCATTTACTGACACCATTTGCAGCTTGCCGCTCGCGCTCTCCCCCGTCTCGATGAAGACGACCGCCTCACACCAATCTTAGTTCATCTCTCCAAAAATTTTGCGACCCCTGACTCAACCCTCTCCGACTCGGACAGCGCACTTCCTGGTGCTCCAATCAACCCTTCGTCCATCGATCCTTTATCCCAGCATTTTCCTCTGTGTATGCGTAATCTCCAAATGACTTTACGCAAGAACAGCCATCTGAAGCATTTCGGGCGATTGCAATACACCTTATTCCTGAAAGGTATCGGATTAACACTGGAGGACTGTCTCATCTTCTGGCGTCAGGCTTTCAAGCTCATCACAGACGATACCTTCAACAAGGAATACCGGTACAATATTAGACATGCCTATGGTGACGTTGGTGGTGACGCGATTCGGCGAGGACGAGGATACTCGCCCTTTTCATGCCAAAAAATTTTGACCGAGCATCCACCCGGGAGTGGAGAAAGTCACGGATGTCCATATCGGCATTTCAGCGTTGATAATCTCACGACACTTCTTCAGACCACCGGAGTCAGTGATCGAGATGTCCTGAGAGGAGTCAAAGAAGATGTGGAGAAGAAAAGGTTTCACATAGCTTGCAATCGTGTATTTGAGTGGGCGCATAAAGGCGACATCAAACGTGTGAAGGAGGACGACAGCTGGGGCGCTGCAGAGCTAGACACAATTGTACACCCGAACACATATTTTAAGCGGAGTTACTTGCTAAAAACTGGTGGTGCTGCAGCGGTAAAGGGGGACGAAATGGAAATATAGCGCCTTCAATCGATAATAATGAAGGATGTTTAAAAGGATATATATTCCCACATTGACAGGCATCCTTTAAAAGGCTGGTGAAGAAAATTCATGTTAACGCTTACAACAACAGTGAAACCTAAGCGTGAGACAGGGTCAAGAGTAAGAGTACAATGGAAATTGATCACCTAAGCAGGAAAAGAGCTTTATCACATCAATACATATATCTAGGATGGTAGATCGCCTTATCTAGTGCCGTATGCATCCTACCGCTTGGTTTAAGACTTTTGCCGCTACTTGGTTGCAGTGGGCGTGACAAAGCCTTTGAGCCTTCGTGAATATTGAGAGGCGTTTGCACGATGTGACCAAGGTTAGACGGGCTCGTAGTATTTGCAGGGATCACATTGAGGAGTCACGTCTCTTTCCAACCCAATCTATGGACGACCAAACCAATCCAGAACTGTAGGAATGCTATCAATGAGTAAACCAGATGACTGAAAATGTTGCTATTCGAGGTGTGTCTAATCGTTCAACAGATTCGAGCTCATACTCGTCGAGGTTGTGCTCATCCGTTTGCCTTGACTGTCAAGCTATGGCATTTCATGGCAGTCCTCTGTCTTTGGCAATAATTTTTGGGGTTGGGAAACAATGGATGCAATTGAGGAAAATGATATCCCTGCCCGCGCTATTCAGTGTGAGGTTTTTGCCAATTCTAGAAGATCTTTCATGAAGGCGTTGAGGGCCAAGGTACGAGCGTAGCCACTGGAACTATAGGTATAGCGATCTAATACTATCCTAGGGACCCTTTCGAAGTCCGTTGAAGACATGGAGTAGTAAGGTGTCCATTGCCGGTGTATTACACTCGCATTGTGCAGTCAATGCTCCTTTGCTACGGCATTGCGATGTATTGGAAGTGTGGGCAGCCGACATGAATCGAACACATGGATCTTGGGGTAGAATCTAATTATCAGGACACGAGTAACCCCTGAAAGATCGAGACCCGAATCAAAGCACTCCATCACTCTTGATCATGAACCGCTGCTGTGTAGGTTGTGAACTATGAGTCGTCGATTGTACCTCTAGTCAAAGACTCAAAGTCGAGCACCTCGTTCGTTCACTCGTAATCCTAAGCCGAAAGCATACTTCGCCATCGCTGCGTAAAACGGCCTACCTTGACAAGGGCCCGTTCCGTGGCGTCAAATCGTTATAGCGAGATTGAGCATGGGAGCTTGACTCAGGAGTAAGGTTGGAATCTTTTGCTCATCGCAATGAGAAGTTGGGGCTTGAATCCGAACATTCCGTTCATTTAGTAAAAGGTCTGACATTATGCTTCAGTCAGATTTGGCTGGATCTCTTTTGTGTACTGAAAACCAAAAGCTTTGTGAGAGCCCCAGCGCCTGGCATCTTCTATGAGCCAACATTGAGAACACGCTGTGTTATTTCAAGCCATTTCTCTTCTGACCGCGGGTTGCCATACTGCCAGCGGTCTCTCATGACAACCATCGTGTGGATGCAGAGCAACAGCTCCCACTGAAGATCTTACTTGCCTTTCCAAATAGCTGAGATTCCACTCGCAAGCCCAGCGGCTAATAGAACAAAGTTGAAGGCAGAGATCATAACGAAAGGTGCTACAGGCGAGATCTTGTCGAACATGAGCCCGCCAAGTTTTGTCAATAGGAGAATGCCCAGACCCCCCGCCAATGAGTAGACGCCGGCTATCGAGCCCTTCAGATGGTTCTGTGAACGGCCTCTGCTGCGTAATAGAGGTGTACCTTCGGCGGCTTCTTCGGTATTGTTCTCATTTGGAGGGACGATTGAATCAGCAGTTTCGTTGCTATTGAAATTATGACCTTCCACTCGCGCCACTGCGTCACAAGATGCCGATCCTGATAGATCACTTTCGGCCTGTAGACCTAGAATACCCCGTCCTAAGAGGCCCAAGCTGCATACTATTGCACCGATTTGACTTATCCCCAACAGAGCCATGATAACGAAGATCCAAGGAGTACTGTGCGTCGCCTTTGCCTCTGGGCTCCCCAGAAATGCCAATCCAATGTACCCAACGAGACCTGTTATTGCTGCCGTGAGAAGCGGAATATTAAAACGGCGGTATCTATCCGCCAGGAATCCAAAGACAGGCGCGAACAGAAGGGCTACAAGCTGCGAAACGCCGGTGAGCTCGGCGGCAAGGACGTAAGCTTCTCGACAATGCGTTTTAACATCCTGCGGGTTATGCCCTGTCTCATCACATAGTCCCGAGGAAATGTAGTACGCGTTCACGAACAGAGGAATGAAGAGCGAGATTGCAACCGACTAAAGATCTCTGAGTCAGCGTTTTACTTTGAAGGCAACGAAACCGTATTTCAAGACAAGCTTAAGGAGTAAAATCGGTCTTCTGGCTCCGAAAACCTGCCTTGCGACGGGATTTTGCGGTATGGAGGAAGGAATCGCTTCGAAGGTACGTACGGATGCTCTCGCTACGAAGCCACCAAGATATCCAAGGCCTAGTAAAGGACTCTTGAAGCCTAGGGCGACTGCCTCAGCTAAAGACTCCAGGCTCGATGTTTTGGATGGTGGATCATCTGGTCCACCGTACACGAGATTTCGCCATCCTTTCTCGTCCTCGCCGTGCAGATTCCGTAGGCCAATAAAACACAACAACGCCAGGATCAGAGATGATGCTCCAACAGTGTAGTAACTGTCAGCCAATGCCTGCCCAGGAGCAATGCCCTTACGCTGAACAAGTTCCGGCAAACGGAGAAAGAACCCCAACGCGAGAAGAGCACCACAACCGGTGAAGATGCCAACAATTCCGGCAAGACGTGTTGGCGATAGTTCATTGGGCGGACTTCTGTGACTTGAGTGATGATGTAGCCTCTGGGGTGTTATTGTGAGCTCGGATGAGATTGAGGGTGAAAAGACGTGACCATTGCTGGCGTCAAGGGTTGGATTTGGCACATTTGCTTCATTGTTATTCTTGCGGGGTGCGATCATCGATGGGAGAATTGCTGTCACCATTGTCGATGCCGCTGCGCCTCCGATGCTGAAAAAAAGCCTAGCGAGCAACAACTGAGGAAATACATTTTTGGCTTGTACGAAAAGTAACAGCGCAAGGCCGATGATAGTATAGCCCAGAACGCAGACCTGTGAGGTATCAGTAGCATTCCAAGACAAGTCTAGTCTTGCTAATGTGAAGATACAGTATCTGCATGGGTTCCTGGATTACAGTATTCATAAAACTCGTGCTGTGATTGGAGAAGATTTTGGTGCCATCTGAGTCCCAAGACCAGGTTGGACATATTCCCATGCTGGCTGACTACAACTGGAACCCTTTGCAAGTCTGCATAATGTTCAAGAAATCCAATGCTACAGCTTTTCGACCACAATCCCAGACAGAGACCAAGCGCGTCCTCGCAATTCTCTAGAATTTCGTGCATCGTTGACTTTTAGATGTTCAACGAGAAGAATAACTTACTATTCGAACCCCGATTCGATCGGATATTACTCCCCAAGCAGGGCATGCTACAAGTGCGACCAGCTCGTCCGCGAAACCCAAAGTGCCAACGGCATCGCCAACTTTAGTCCGTTGTCCGATCAAATTCGTGATGACAAACGAGACGGATGAGTTCAGGAATACTAGAAACGCGATCTGTGACAGTACCAGGATTAGCGACCTTTTTGCGTTGGGAGGAAGACCCGTATGGCAAGTATTGGGAGGAAGTAGATCCCAAATTGTCTTGCGGTTCTCATGTTAGGATTTTGAATTAACATACCGAGAACATGCATACCCCTAAAAGGTAAGTGGCGGCTTGCAGCTTCGTTGCTGTGAACATGTTCGCTGAGCACTTTAATGCATATACTCACCAGCCGAGTAATGAGTGCTTTTGTACGATAGGGTACGGTAGTTAAAGTAGGCGCGGCGGTCTAGGTTAAACTTCGGGGAAAAAGTAATCTTTTAAGTACAGTTTGGCTCGTCTTTTCAGGGTTGTTGATGACACCTCAACGTTAACCTAGGTCCACCAAGGTCGAAGTGAAAAGACATGCATCGTGGCTATCTTTACCTAGCATCATGAGACTTGCAGCTTACGCCGGGGTACGAAAAGCCTGGTATCCTTCCCTTCATGCTGATGCATTGCTGATCTTCTGTAGACCTCCATGGTCCTGGCGACAGGTGTCATAATCCGAGCAATACATGAGCGGGCGAACTTCTACTCAGCGTGTGTCTATCTGGCTTCGAGCAATGCATGTCTCATGGTAGGATACAGATGGCATTGTATTTCATCAAAGCTCTTGCGCTCACGCGATCCTCTAGGTACTCACAAATATTGCACTTCTAGGTGTGTGCTCAGGAATGCTTGCCTTGCAGAGGCTCTTTTACGGTCCGTTACGACCAATCGAAGTAGAACAGCTTTACGAAAAGGCATGGTTTGCCATCACGGAGACATGTCTTGCAATGACCATCTTTCGGGAGGAGGTGGGTGGCTGGTTTTTGGTCATGTTTGTTTGCCTGTTGATAGGGAAGGTGTGGGGTTGGATTGGGGAGGGACGGGTTGAGATTCTGGAGCAGCAGCCACCATCGAATCCGCGCTTGTTCCATGCTCGACTCTCCGTCTCACTTATCATCTCGACTCTATTCGACATTTTCATGCTTCGATATTCCATCAACACTGTCTTACTCCACGCGCGGCCAAATATGATGGTCATGTTCGCTTTCGAATTTGCTGTCCTGACTATTACCTCCATTTCCACTGCAGCTCGCTATATGATATCCCTCCGGGAGGCAGCGGTAATCAAGAATCAAATTAAAGACCGCCGCGCCCAGATGAGGCGTGACAGAGCGTCTGCCCAACCTCGAGAACCTACGGCAGATGGGTCCACTTCTCCAGAAGCTCACGTCAGTTCTATTGCCACTGATGACGATATCGATTCGTTGGATATCGACGTTCCTGGCTGGGAGGAAAAGGGCCGATGGGTTTTCTACCTGGACCTTGCTACAGGTATGAAGAGTCAAAACTGGCTTATTTGAAAGTCTCCGGCTAATAACCGATCTTCAGACTTCTTCAAGCTCGTCTTGTATCTTACGTTTTTCTGTGTACTTTGCATGTTCTATGGCATGCCTATCCACATCATCCGAGACGTAGCTCTCACGATCCGATCCTTCTACAAGCGAATCACGGATTTCGTCCGCTACCGGCAAGCAACCCGAGATATGAATGCAAGATACCCAGATGCTATCGCAGAAGAGATTGCGCGAGAAGATGTCTGTATCATTTGTCGAGAAGAAATGATGCCTTGGCAAGCACAGGCCACTGCCGGCGCGGAGCCCAACAGCAATGGAACAGCCGCTATTGACGAGCGCTTGAGACCTAAAAAGCTACCTTGCGGTCATATTCTTCACTTCGCGTGCTTGCGCAGCTGGCTCGAGCGCCAACAAAATTGTCCGACCTGCAGAAGACCGGTACTCATGACAGGGACAGTAGCCCGATCGCAAGACCAGGCCCTCGCAAACCAGCATGGCAGAGCGCTACCTCACGTCAACCAACCACAGGCTCAGGTTCCCGCGCATGGTGATTTCCAGCAACCCGTAGCTGCACAGAATGTGTTTCATTTCGGTCCACTCCGTATAGCGTTTGGCGCCAGGCAAGGCGCCCAGGGTGCCGCGCAGCAAGTCAACAACAATGCGCCTCCTCCTACTCAGCCAGGACAACTGCCGGCGACAGGAAATTTGCCACGCGCAGGTGGTATGTTTGGATTCCAGCGCCAGGTTCCAGGATCTCAAACGCGGACTGTTGCCACCTTTAGCCCTACAGGTCTACAACTTCAACTCCATCAGATGGAGCATCAACTGGTCCGAGAAATTAATTCACTTCGAGTCCAGCAAAATCAATTGTACCTTGTGCGAGCCCTGCAAGGCGAACTTACTCGACTGCGTATAGCACAGGCAACCCCAGATGCGAGCTTTACTGGCCAATCTTCTTTGACTCATCAGCCTCGAGTTGTCGACACACTGCCGCAAGCCGTGGGGTATGCAAATGTTTTTGGTGCAAGTCCACAGCAACAGAGCGTGGGTTCTAGCCATTCGAGTCTGCCTGCTGGCATGACGCTACCACCGGGTTGGAGTATTCTGCCGCTCCAGAGACTTTCTGATGGGAGGAACGCTATTCTTGGTGAGATTTCTAACGCTGATAGCTCTAGCGTTCAGTCACAACCGTCCGGTAGCAACGCGTCAACAGGGTATGTATCTCAGGATCGCTCGCAAACGAGTGTAGCTGCTCGTATGGGAGAAAGGTCCTCAGGGTTGCCAGGAGAGACACAAAGTCACAGTAGTAATGGCGAGCCCGTATCTGGAAATAGAGGTGACATCTCACCAGGAACTCCGCGTTGGGGCTCTGGCTCTGGCTATCAAGTCCCGAACGACGCTCCCAAGGGCAACAAATTTGAAATTTCTGAGCATGAAACCAATTCTAATGACGAGGCGAAGGGTAACGACTCGGGACCAATGTCGCAAACAATAGCCGACAGTAGGCAGATCAAAGGAAAGGGGAAAGCGACGACGGTAGAAGACACAACTGAAGAGCTGGACTGAGCCTGTAGAAGAGGAAGCATCCGAGGGGTTGTGCCCGCTCTCCTGTTATTATGTAGGCACAAGCGAAGGCGTCTGGCGCTTGGCTGGATTTCACAGGGCAGACAAAATAGAATGATGTAACTCTAAACTTATACCCAAATCATACGTAGGTAGATTATTGATGCTTCTCATTGCCAAGGTAGAGGACAATCTTCGTTGAGGAGCAAGTAGAGAGGTGGCTGTGTTTACATGCCTTGCTCTCATTCAGACTGGCCGTGACCATCCGAGATCGAGACCCCAAGAATAGGGAAAGGAATGCCAAAGAGACAGGGAGAGATTGTCAGGAGAAGCCTTGTCGAGAACGACGCACGATTACGTAGTATGTACAGCGCGAAGCAAATCCTCCAGCCCGTAGTTCAAGAGGTAAGAAAGCCCGGCAGTATGCTCTAGCGATAATGAGTGACGAAGAAATCTTTGTGGAAAAGGGAGTTACGACTGCTCCTCCATCCGTATAAGCCTGCAGATTTCGCTGCAATCACAATGCCCTCGAATAGTAATCAAGAAGGCAAATGGACGGAATTCGATAAAGCCTGCGGGGAGGGAGGTGGGTTTAAAAGAGTAAAGACTCTCAACTGCCACCACCAATAAAACTCGTATATCGGCAATTGCGATATGGATCCTTAACGCCCCCATCTCTCCTAAGTCCTAACAGCCCGCCCACGGTTAGAGCCCGCAACGGGGCTAGCAAATCGACTTTTGCAAAAGAATGAGTTAACTTTACCAACCTAATCATGACCGCTACATGCATTACGCCCAACGCAGCTACCAAAACATCCCCCTTTTGGACTGTCAGTTTTCGGCTCGCATCCCCTGGTGACCGAGGATCGCCGCAGATTAATGCTGTCTAGTAAAGTCAATCTCGGGTCCATAATGCTAGTGAAAGAACCCTCCCTCCATGCACACCACGCCAATTATGTCCCAACCACATCAACCCTCCCCGAACAAATGTTCACTTTCTTCCTCTTTGCCTTCCCATCCTTCTCCTATAAGTTACCCTTGACATTGTTCTCGTTAAAGAATGCCATCCGCTCACATGCCCATACGACAGTATCCGTCTCAGCAAGCGATGCGCCAGGTTGATGGGCGACAGCAAATTTCACTCGAAAGCAGCATCAACCATGGCCATCACGGTCAAAGAAGTGGCGCCTACCAGAAGATCTTCCCTCCAATCGGGGCACAAGACTTCCAGGAGTTCCCCACAAGACGCTCAAACACCGGCAACCCAAACACAATTGCAAGAGCAAGATTTGATGCCTCGTCTCCTATGCCCACTAACTTTCCTCCCTCTATATATTCGCAGGAGCCATTGAGGTTTGACTCCCCAGTACTTCATGCTTGCGAAATTCATGAGCTGACTTTCATCCACAGCGATCAGAAGGGCGCTCATCTGCCAGACCGTCACCGTCCGACAGGGCATAATACATCTGGCAGCGCATCACCAGTCTCAAGAATGTCTTCCGATGAAACCTATGAGACACAGGCAACTTCATTAGAGTTACCAGCGCTACAGGCACACTCAGCACTCGACAGGTCAGACCCAATGGAGCCAATGACTGGAGACCCCGCAGGCTCGTTCGACCTTGTTGCGCCAGCAGAAGAAGGTCGTCAGGCCTTTTCCTTAGAAGCACGTTCGGAGCAACTTTTCTCGCGTGCTCACCTGGAGATAATATTCGCCAACCCATCCTCTCTCTTAAGGTTCACTGCCTTCCTGAGCACACATCGACCCCAATCGGTGCCAATCTTAATATACTATCTCGATGCACTCAAGGCGCTTAAAGCCATCAGATATGCCAACGCTATAGCCGAAGCTCTGAGCCCAATACCAAATTATGACTTCACGTCCGAACTCGCCAATCCAACTACCAACCGCGAACTTGAAAACAAAGCCGCCTCTGCGTTTACGGTATTGACCCACGAGGACCTTCCAGCCTTTATCACACATGTCTATGTGCAAGTAGTTAGCCAGAGCATTTCCCGAAGAATCACAGGGACGCTGGCTCCACATCTGCGTGAAGCGTCCGAAGGTTTGGCGGAAGTATTTTGCCTGACAGATCCTTCTAGACCGGACAATCCGATTGTTTTTGCTTCTGAGGGTATGCCTGCCCGCATGCTCTCAATTTTCAACAGCGTTAACTCTATACATCAGAATTTCATCGCACCACCCAATATGGTATGAACTATGCTATTGGGCGAAACTGTCGTTTTCTTCAAGGTCCGAAGACAGAACCTGGCAGTGGACGAAGGCTTGGAGACGCGACCAGAGCTGGCAGGGAGCACTGCGAGGTTTTTCTCAATTAGTGACTAGTCCGCATTCCTCAAAGGTGTCTCGCTGCTAACGTGACAATAGTCGACGTGATGGTTCACCTTTCATGAATATGCTCATGATCGCGCCCCTTTGCGATAGCCGAGGAAAAATCCGATATTTTATAGGGGCTCAGGTCGATGTCAGTGGACTGGTCAAAGATTGCACAGACTTGGAATCTCTTCAGCAGCTTGTTGTTCGAGAGCAGGCTGAGCACAAATATACTAATGGAGAAAATGTCGACGGCCAGCAGGAGGCCAAGGACGATTTCCAGGACCTGAGCGAGATGCTGAACATGGCCGAGCTTGAAACCGTGAGGAAGTTCGGCGGAAGGATGCACCGAGAGTATCAAGAAGAGGAGGTAGACAAGCCACGTAATGGCGCGCCCCATATGCCACGGTTGCTCTTGCAGGAGCCATCTGCAGATGACAGTCAGATATTCGATCTCAGTAGCCGCCAGAGTGGCAAGCTAAGCGGCATCTACCAGAATGTATGCGTTCGCAAACCGCTTCTAAAGGCAATGAAGTCGACTAACAGGATTTAGTATCTACTTGTCAGGCCTCATCCATCTTTCCGTATTTTGTTTGCTTCGCCGACGTTGCGGGTGCCAGGAATCCTCCAGTCTCCATTCCTGGACAAGATTGGTGGCTCTACACGAGTCCGCGAGGAGCTGTCTGCTGCTCTAGCAGAAGGTCGAGGTGTAACAGCAAAGGTGCGCTGGGTTACCAAAGCAGACGAAGATGGAAGAAATCGATGGATTCACTGCACTCCTTTGTTAGGCAGCAATAGCCTAATTGGCGTCTGGATGGTGGTACTTGTCGACGACGATCAAGAGCTAAGTAGGAGATGGAAGCAGGCTCCCCCAGTTGCACCTCATCGTGGTAGAATTTACGACGGTCATGAACGCATGGGAAGCAGCGGAGAGTCTATTGCAGGCCGTGCGAGTGGTGTGAGCTCGTTGCAAAATGATCATCCCAGAGCTCATCAGAGTACAAACAACGGCGCCCATAGCAGCTCTGTCAGGTCTACTTCGCCAAATTCGGTTCTAATATAGAAGCGCCAGGCCATCGCGCGACAAGTACTCCGTTCTCCTGCCTCCAATAGATGCTGTGAATACAGTATCTCGATGTCTTTGGTGCCGGGCCACTCTTGCCTGGAACGTGTATCTGTATCCACAGCACTGAAAGCCTAACATCGCGGATCTCAGCCTTCTTCGGCTACAGTACTGACTCTCTGCTTTCCAATACTTAGCGCTTAGCACGGCGATAGGAGTCTAAATCGTTTCCTCAACAGGTAGTCTATTCAAGGCCTATTGTAAGATGACCGAGGAAGAACTCAAAGCGCATGAGAAAGGCCTTCAAGAAGCAAAGCGAGCAAGCTTAGCCAGGAATAGAGGCTATTCAATTCTTTGAGCGCTTATGATCACATGGCAAGTATCTTGGCAATCATGATTGGAGTTGTCGCAAAAGATAAATTTGCTCAGTACGATCTGAAGCTGAATCAATGCAGATATCTACATGCTCTCAGGGTTGCTCAAAGATAGCCATTATCAGATGAACAGAGTGGCGGATATCGTGCAAATTGTGATTGTAAGGCCACGAATACTTCCAAGCAGTAAAAAAGACCGTTGCTGTCGTCCATCTGAATTTCCTCATAATGTGCATGCTTTGAGAATGCAGTGTTGCTGCCAGGCCCCTTCGGCGATCCTCATGTCCACGGTATCTGCCAACCAATATAGACTCGCAAGTTTGATTCATGATGGCTCCTTCTCCAACTTCCACTGAAACTTTGTGATGCAAACACGGACTCGACCGGTACTTCTTCCCTACTTGTTGGTTTGCCCCACGCCCGTGTTGTAAGAAACACTGGCATCAAAGTGGCCTCCTATTGTGTTTCAGTTAGCTAATGTCCATGCAACCAGTAGTGAATCGCTCTTAATCCGTCCTCCACGACTCTTGGTAATGTCTGCTTTGAGGAAACTGATCCAGTTGATCTCTACTGCTGCAATCATCGTCCTCTTCTCCTCTCTGAACAAACTCAACACAGAAGTATCTACTCTCGGCAAACACCGGGTGGGAAAGCACGAGGAATTATTCCTTGATGCGTCGGCTTGGTCACTTCCTGGCCGTAATGGATCCATCTCTGAAACGCGAGACTCACTGGATTCAGCTGCCACTTCAACATCGTCCGACTTCCATCCTGGAGTCCCTAAACCTCTAGGCTCAACATACAGTCGTGCCATGGTCATCCCCCGGCTTCAGAGTGATAACATTTCATGGGTCTCAGACGAGTTGCCAAATGTTGACGCAGCAGTCTACACCGCGAACGACCCATTGGCGGTGATGCATCCACCCAAAAACAAAGGACATGAAGTTATGATATACTTATCGTACATCATCAACCACTACGACGCCCTACCTGACATTCTCATATTCATGCATGCGCATCGTTGGACGCACCACAACAATGCCCTTTTAGCCTACGACGCAGCTGAGATGGTCCGAAGGCTAAACAGTGATTATGTCACCAGGGAGGGATATGTGAACATGCGATGTCAGTGGTCGCCAGGCTGCCCGGAGTGGCTTCATCCTGGCAACCCACGAGAAAGTCTCGAGAAGCAAGAAGAAGTTGTACTATCAAAAAGCTGGAGTGAGCTTTT